TAGACCCTTTCGGCGAGAAGTAGCAGCTTGTGAATATCATTAATTTTGCAATGAAATCATTATATCTCAGTTACGGTATACACCCACACACAATAATTGGCCGCCATGTTTTACGTCAAGCAGCAAGTGCTTTCTGTGTCCTGGAGATCTTGGTCACTACATTTTGAAGCTAAAAACTATTCTAGAGTCAAGAAAGATGCCAAGAGAGCCAACCTAGGGAGTATAGTGCAATACTCTTGTTGTATGAGCCTGCTTTCCTCTTTGGGCTGTGACAGAGAGTCAAGAACTGATCGTTCTGGCTCTCCCAGACTTCTTAAGTCTTCAAGTATCTTGCTATAGTAAAGAACAGTTGATATGAAGCCTCTCATAGTCCTGAGTTCAGCACAACAAAAGTTTTATTGGCAAAACAGCTCTACTTTGCACATCAGCCATTGAAACTCTGCATAACTTTGACGTAAAACATGGCGGACAAAAATCCGTTCAATATTATTTCTTTGTATATACGGTATCACAAACTAATTCTCGCCTAAAGGGGTCTATAATCATAAAACCACAACCATAGACATTGCAAATTGACATGAATTTTTTGTTTACACACCTCATTTTTTGTAATTGCTGTGTAAATTGCTGTATACAGTACTGTAGAGCCTAAGACTCTTAATGGACACTTGCACCAGTTATATTCCTTACTGTAGCTTCCACATAAAATACTTTCTTGTACCAACATGCACTATATATTTTATAACAATTTTAGCAATTTAGTTAATCATCACAGCTTACCCTATTACCAAGAGTATACATAATATAAGGAATATTTCTATTCATTATGTGTCTTCTTATCAAAAGTTTTGATTATTTTAAAGCCTTAATTCATAGTAATAGTAGTATGGTAGTAGTACAAACACCTATTCATGAAATTTCATGGAAAGAGTGCATAATATTCATTGACTATTCATTGGGATACACTGCATGTGACGCAGCACTTAAAGTGTACACTGCTGCACCAAATTAACTTAAACAATTTTTCTAATTTCTACTGTCTTTTTTGAAATTGTACTCTGTATTTAAAAAAATAATGATGTATACATGTACGATATGATGAATTTTAAAAAATTATGTAATATGAAGCACATTCTTGTTTACTGTAAATACAAGAGTACATGAAGGTCTTGCTCTGTGTATGACCTTTAATTCCTTTATTTTATTCTTTTATTCAGATATTCGAGTATTGGATCACAGGCAATGTAACATAATATGGAGACAAGTACAACCAGTTGTGGGTGAACTTACTGTTGCTGATATACATGTATGTGATCATTCATTTGCACAATAATAATAATAATAATTGAATCTCTGTATTTATGCCTATACCATAATAGAAATAAAATGAGCTGTTTTTAATTTGGTGAATGTATGTGATAATGTACCATTGAAAATTTATGCAAAAGTAATTTAAGGAAAAAATAGTACATGTTTTGTCATATACAATGTAACTATATGATCATATTGCTATAGCCAATGGTGAATATTTAATTTTTGTAGTTATTTTTAAACTTTTTTTTCGTCATCTTTTTTATAATTAGTTAGTATGTGATAATGGAAGACCTTACCGTTGCTCGAGCACAGACGTCTTTAGAGCTCATGTTGTTGATACTACAACCAACCAAGAAGTTAATTGTGTTATTGAACCAAGTGGATCACTGGTTGGATGCTCACAAGTGACTGTCTCATTTACTGCCAGAGTTTCAGGAGAATATTTGGCAAAATTTATGATGAATGAACAAATATTGGGTAGAGAACGGAGAATTGTTTATCCTGGTAAGAAGAAAGGAGAGGCACTTAAATAAATTTTATCCATGTCCTTTACACTATAATAATACCCCCCCCCTGGTTATAACCCAAATTTTCTCTTTTTTCTTTTAGATATTTTAGATCACAGACAATGTAAAGTAATATGGAGAGAGTTACAATCAGTTGTGGGTAAACTTAATGTTGTCGATATAGAAGTATGTGACCTGACTCTTAGCTTTCCTTTAATATTCATTTTTTATTAGTTAGTATGTGATAATGGGAGACCTTACACTATTAAAGGCACAGATAACTTCAGAGCTTATGTTGTGAATGCCCAAAAGCACCAACCTGTCAATTGTGTTATTGGACAAGGCACATCACTAGTTGGATGCTCATTAGTGACTGTCTCA